AGAACTTTTAATTTATCAGGGGTAACATCCGCGGTTAACTCAAAATCACGTTAATCCATGGCGGATAAAAAACACAAGAAAGAAGAAACTAGAGAATATGTTCTTTTTGTACTTAAATTAAATCAGTTTCGAAACAAAAAGGGAACGCAGAGCAAATAAGAGAAGAAAAAACTCCATTTGAAATGAAAAAAAAGTAAGTTATGAATAGCATTAAAAAACACGAGTGCTCACCAGTTGCCGAGCGATAAAATCGCTGAATACTGGCTAGTTCGGTCCGGCATTCGAATCCCCTCAATGGGCAGGATGTATGGGCGTTTTATCTTTGTGTAATGTGTATAGGAGCCAGTTTCCCTTAGAAAGTCCTCCACGAAGATGTTCTTCCCTCTAGGCAGGTAGCCCTCAAGTGCTTTGCCTTAATTAAATAAACCAAACTGAACCAAACCATTAAAAACGCGGCTAAAGCGAAACATGCGCGCGCACCAAATTTAGTGATTCCGCTGTTAAATAATGATTTTTTTACTCTGCTAATCTTACTCTCGTTATTCGGTGATCATGGTTGGTACGCAATGGCCAGTTTGTGCAATTCTTTGAATTTTTTAGCTTAGAAAATATTATTGTATACATGGGGAGAACAATAAAATGTCTTATTTTTAATACATCGCATAATTCTTATTCAATAATTAAAATTCGTAATTTAAATTGCTGAAGTTTGTTTTCTTTTGTCATGTTGACAATTTGCCGACTTTCCATATGTATCAATAGTTTGGGGATCTTTAAAAAAAATCGCCGACTTGTACCCGATCCGCAAATCTTAGATAATTATTCAGATTTGCGGATCCGGATCGTATGTATCGTATATATTTGCGGATCGTAGATATACGGCGAATATACCTAAGCAATAAACAAGTAAAGTTCGGCTTCAGAGTTTTGTGAAGTTAAAATATGAATTATACAAACTTTTTTAAAGTCAATCAAGAATAATGTTTTTAAAATTGCAAAAAATTATTCAAATGAAGTTTTAAAAATTCTCAGTTGGAGATTATTTATTCATGTAATTCATGTACTCTTATTCCAGGTACAGATTCAAGAGTCGCAAGACCGTCAACAGAATTAGTACTGACGTATAGTCCGGCGTATAACGTGCGCTTTTAATGCAAAAAATATAAGGTCGAAGTTTACGGGTGTGCGTTATATGCTGGATCTGAAAATGATAGATTTAAATGTAAGGAAATGATGAGTATATAAAAATTAAATTTCTACATGTACCTAAATACTGTTTATTTATGAATATAAAAAATTTTCATTATTGGATAACATGAAAAAACTTCGTCATATTTGTCTTCATGCACATCATCGAATTCTGTTTCATCTTCATCGTCACTGTTAGTCTGATCCATAAATAAATAATCATCTTCCGCGCCATCTAGGTTGTTGGGTATACTACATTTTATCAAATGACTTTCGAATTATGTCGGGATTAATTTCATTCTATGATTTTATTACCCATTCACACACTATTTCTAGACTGGCACGACGCATTTGGCTTTCTTTTGCAAATGTTTTTCACCTTCTAATATCCATGTATTCCAGTGTTGTTTTAAATTTTATTTGAATGATTTATTGATACATACATATAGAGGCTGATTAAATGGCAATAATCCGCCTGGAATAAATGACATGCCTGTATTACAATCTTTCAACAAGTTGTTCGTATTATCCGTTAGATGAAATCTGAACATGTCCCAAATTTTCTGAATTCTTTAAGGTAACAGGACGCTTTCGCCAATTACCCACCGTTATGTCCATCCATCCTTTCTCGTGAATACGAAAGAAAACACCATTCGGGAAATTACATTTCGGCATTGCCTTCGTTTTGAAAATAACCACTGGTTTTTATTTGTACTCTCCGCTAAGCTGGAAAACATTACAGTGAGGTGCAATTTTTTATGATCTGTTGTTCTTCTGTGAACAGTTTTTGCTCCTTTCACATCAATTGTTTTATTTCCTACCATATCAAACATTACTTCTGTTTCATCCGTATTTCCAATATGTCAGAGCAAATAATAATTTTTTCCCCCTTTGTAGGTTAATAACGTACATCTGGAAACTGATCCATTTGTTGTCCAAATCTCTCGGATCCTTATCACATCTTTTGGTTTTTCTCGTCAAACTAAATTATTCCGTACCATAAATCGATTGCAGAACCTCAAAGTTGATTTAAAGTTTTCACTTTTATTTGCATTCTTTTTGCCCATTTTAAGGTAAATAAACGAACGCAATTTTCATTCATACTTGCTATTTTCTAGAATCCACTTCGGAACACCTTCTTCTAGGATTGGCCATTTCGTTACTTCTTTACGCAAAGCATACTTATTTTTTGGCCCTATTGGTTATTGTGATTTCATTATTCTTCCACTCACGTATGGAGCTTTCACCAACACAAAACATCCTTGTTCCAGAACGATTTCCATTTTCCTTCGCAAATTTTGCATTTGAAATGACTCGCATGACTTTGCATTTGAAACCAGTACTGTATTTGTATCGTTTGCCAAGCCATATTTACTACTAAAAAGAAAAGTAGTTCAACTGAATTTTAACGGAAGCAAATATGATTACTTCGATGTTCACTTCAAAAAACTAAAGCATCAGACCGCTAATTCATTCGGGTCGAAAGACTGTTCTTACCCCAAATTATGTTCCCCTTTTATCGCAACCCTAGAATAACATTCTTGTGCACACCAGCATTGAAAACAATCCACCCTCTTTGAAGATTTATTTACTTCCTCAAGCATTTCCCCCACACACATATTGTTCCCTTACCGTTTGTCAACTCAATATAACATTGTTCAGAAGCCTAGGAAAATTTTTCCCAGGACTTCAAAACATAAGAGTATCAAACCTTCAAAATATAAATCGCGTTCAAAATACAAGAGCTTTTAGATTTGTTCGTAAAGAAAAGGGTGCGTGTTATATGGCGAATATACCTAAAAAATTGTAGTTAAAATAAATAAAAAAATTAAAAATTGTAGTTTGAAATTATACGTGTGCGTTATACGCCGGTATATACGATATGTAACTATTTAAAAAATATATATAAGGGAAAAAAAGAAGCGAACTTGAGAAATCTTAGAAAAAGAAGAGATAAAAGAAAAAATCGTCTGTTACACAGATTGCAGCAGAAGAATATCACAAGCCAATCAAGGAAACATTAAGAATGAAATTAGCTCTGAAAATGAATGATCAATCAACATTCATTGTTCTTGAAACGGTTACAGGCGAGAATATCGCGGTAAAAACATCGCGTACGAAGATGTCGCGGAGAAAACAATGCAAAGCGAAAACGCCGTCATATAAAAACATCGCGAAGAATAAAGCAAGGAGAAAACATTGAATTAACAATGTGATGTTCATTTTACCTTCAAACACAGTAAATTTTATAAAATAGCCATTATCATGTTTTTAAATGCTATACAAGATATTCAAGAGTCGAACAACATTCACAACACCATTCTTTATACCTCAAATAAGGACCTTTATAACCTCCTAACACAAAGTGAACACCACTTGTAAGTTTGCGTATTGCTCTCCCATTACTTCGGAAAGTCAGTATACATACTCGCTGGTTGAATAACTTGCAAAGGAAGCATTTTAGAAGTAAATATGTGCCAATCGCGAGCAAAATAGTTGAATGATGCTTAGAAGAAAATTTAATCTTAAATCGCCACTTTCTGGTTGCCTTTATTAAATTCAGTTTTATACGAAGCTATATTGATCGTAATTCGTCATAAATTTAGTATTTAAATAATTTTCTTGTCATCTTTGGATTAATAACATTATGAAGCAATGCTATTATAAGTTAGAACAAATTTAGTCTGTAAATAATTATATTTTCTTTTCATAATAATTAAAATTTTCATTTCACAGATTCATAAAACTGGTGACTTTTAATCAGTTGTTAATATCTGTAGCTGTAAATTTCAGGCTATCATCACTTGCGCCCAGCTAGCAGAAAAGCAACCATTTTCATAATTTCATGAATATGGCCTTGGATTTCTCTCTTTTTCAAGTCATTTGTCAACGTGCTATGCATAAATTGCATATTTTTGGTACAAAATATAAATTTCTCTAAAATGTTGAGTAATTAATTTTTTTTGTGTCTATTTTACTTTTTTCCAAGACCAAATTGTTGAGAGAGATGTTGCACGTGCTTTGAATTGATCATAATAATTTCCACTCTAGGAGTAAATTTTGCTTCTGCATTTCTTAAACACTCCAGTCAGCCAAAAACTGAAAGAGTAAAGACAAAATCGGCAACATACAGAGTATATCCAGAGTGTTACCTTCTGGGAAAGATAACTGCATTAAAATGTAAAATTAGAAGTGGTTTCTCAAATGTAATATTATGCAAGAAATAAATGACAGATGCAGAGGAAAAATATAAAATTATTTATTACAAAAGTTACAAGTAATATATAAACACATACTCTTTTCAAAAAATTCCGCAGATCGTTTTTGGCACGAACTCTTTCAAAGTCCATTCATTGTTTTATTTTCTCGAACTCTACAGTATTTAGTTTCCAGACGCAAACCAGCCAACTGCATCATGTATACAGAATTTTACATTTCTGTACAAAAAATTAGTAAAACAATTTTACGTACGTCTGGCATGACTACAGTAATAAACAATTTTTGGATCACTTTAATATATATTAAAAGAACATCAACACAGGTATATTAATAATTTTTAGTAAAAGTTCTTATAAAATGTTATATAACCTACAGTAAAGATAAATCATTTTATTAATATGAGATAAGGGCTCAGAAAAGATTCAACAGGAATGACATATATTTCAATGAACGAAATTAATATAATAACAGGAATGACAAACAGGAAACTGAAAATAATTCTATGTTACAGAAATTAATTTTAATTTTACCCTATTCTACAACCTATTAAAGTGTCTTTTTTTATCAAAACATCGCTAAAACTTTCAAAATTATTTAACTTTCAAGAAGAAGAATATTTAAAATCTGTAAAGGAAAAAAATTTTGATAAAAATATCCAAAATAAATTTTCTGCAAATAAAAAAGTAACTATTTAAAATTTTTAATTTTCAAAATCTTGTTATCGATCATACATTGTTTTAATAACAAGCATATAAGATTAAGTCTCTGAAACATAAAAATGATAATTGTTTTATTCTGAAATCCATTACTATTTTTAATCAAAAGTCGCATTACTTACTATACTGTTTTGTGTCTATTTCAAAACAGCACATACATTATTATTTTTAAATTACCTGTTATCAAATACTGAAACCATTCTTTATATTACACTAAAGATACAAAGAATTTTTAATTACCTTTAACCTTTTTGTTAGAGAGAAAGTATGGAACCCAAATTATGAATAAATACGAACATACATATATACACATAAATCTGCTGCGATATAATTAAAATGGACTAGCCTGCTGTCCATATTATTTTTATACAAAGGTTTTCAAGGTTTCTTAATGAATAACTATTTTCTCTAAAAATTAGTATTGCGATTTTTAAGATGGAAAAATCCAGCTAAATACAACAATTCTTTATCAAAACAAAGTCAAACAAGAGGTCTGGCTTTTTAGTGTAATACTTAGTCTTTTTCTAGCACTTCAGATGGTTTCGAATAAACAGTTTTGATAGAGCTGACTTTTAGGGGTAATCCTGACAAAGGGTAGGTAATGTTAGGTTACTTGAATAAGGCAAAGCCACGAGAGCTATATGCCTAAGATGAGGGATGCCTCCGTGAAAAACTTTCTAAGGGGAACTGGTTCGTACTCACATTACACATGATGAAACCATGAAAACCAACCATGCAGCCAGCCTGTTCGAACCCACACCAGGTCGAACTAGTATTAAGTGGTCTTAAACATTTGGCCACAGGTGGGAGCCCCTGCAAAAGGGAGGTTCTCATTTCCTTTCAAGGAAATGAAAAAGTAGTTATTATTAACAGCAAAATATTGTATGGGAGTCACTCAAAAATTAATATATGATATAATAAAAGATTACTTATTCATTAACTCTAAATCGAATACTATGCGATTTGAGCAATGTTGTAGCAATAAATATCCATTTTTCAATTTTATGCGCTATTTTTTAAAATTTATTTTTGGGTCATTCATCAAAAGCAAGGGAAGCAAGCACGTTTAAAATACTTTGGAGTACAAAATTAATGAAAAATTATTCTGAAGCAAACTGAGTCATACTGATTGGCTAATGAGGATGCATAGACTTAACTTATAAACGGAAAAATAGCCGGTACATTTTATTTTCCTCTATGAGAAACAATTATTTTGGTCCCATATAAAAACTGAGAAAATGTCCATTATTTCTTAAACGTATAAAATAAGCGTTTAATAATATATTCAGTATTTTTTATATTACTCCAGATTATATTTCCAGAAAATTCCACTTTTCAGGATCTTCCTAACAGCAAGAAAACGACAGAGTATAGTCAAAATTGCGTAAGTGTGATTCCTATAAAAAATAGATAATTTCACAGTGACTTAGGTATGGCATTTAGAGCTCCACGTAGGCAATGGTATTTTAGACGGCGATTTCCCACCGTTGTGCTCAACAGGAGACCTCCTTGGATGTAAATAGACCGGTTTTACTTCTTCACTTTTTATAGTGGGTAGAGATGAAAACTGAATTTGTCCATAATCAGATTCATCCAGTTTAGTTTTCGCTTGAAATTCGGCAATTAATTGCTCAATTTTCATAACGAAGTTCTTATCCGAGCACAAATCACTATGTTGCAGCAGTTTCTCCAAGACTGGTGAAATTTTTTCCGGTGACGGAGCTGAGTTTTTACGAGTCACTGCGATTTTCGGTTGGGTTTGTCTTTCAGGAGACCAGAACATTCGTCTCGAGGATGAACCATTTTGGATATTTTGGATGTTATTTGAAGTTGACACTCTTCTAATAGGGGGTTTTGGAGGCGACAGTCTAAGCTTAGGATCCGTCCTCTGGTTGATTCGAGGAGACGAATGGCGCTTTGGATCATTTCTACGGAAGCTTGCATCAATTTGGTACTTTTCAACCATATTCCTACCCTTAACATTAACAGGTGATGGTCCCCTAGAGTGAAAAACTAAACTTTTCGGTTGCACCGGACCCGAAGACGGAGTCTGAAATAATTCTTCTGAGCTTTGGGATCGCACATCATTCCAGTCCTGCTGATAATGAGGGCGAGGGGATACTTTTCCTACCTGCTGAAGATGGAAAAAAGCAAAAATGCCATTTAGAATACTTAATAAACTATAAATTCAAATTAATAAGTAATATCATTTTTAAATTTCATTAATATTGTCAAAGAATGAACTAGCATTAACTCTGAAAAAGAGGCGAATTACATTTTTCAAAAGCTTCACTCTGGCCAGAGAACGCTATTAAAAGAAAACAGTCATGTTCTCACTTTTATACATTATTTTATTGTATATCAAATATTTCATGAATGCGATTATATGCGGAGAAAACAGAAAAATGGCTAGAAATATGTATTACAGTAAGATACCATTCATTAATATCATTAATAAAATCTGTTATCTTTGTGTGGCTATTTGCCTCCATCATGTAAAAGCTAAATGCCCAACTTTTACTAATATCTATATTGAAAGCTGTATGAGTTCGTTTAAAAGCAAAACATTAAAGTAATATGCCTATTATGCAGATAATAATATGCGATAAATATTTATTTTCCTTTATTTCAAGTTTTAGTTTTTTTGGTTAAACGTAATTCGGTAATTTCATTAATTTCTTTGTGTATTTCTAAGAAACTAAAATATTCGGTATCTGAGTGGCGAAAGTTTCAGTCCAATCTTATAGTACCTTCATTTCTTTTTAATATATTTCAACATTTTTGATAAATTATAAAATTCATTATCTGAATCACGATCTTGCAAGTGTTAAATCCTCAACTATTAGTGATATCTGTGTTGATACCGATGAACTCATTGTAAGCTGAAAGAAAAGCCTTTTATGAAACAAATAATAATACACGATAAAAATTGTGTCGCAGAAATTTAACTATCCTAATCTATTAATTTAACTATCCTAATAATTACTAACTAATCTATTAATAGAATTTAATGATGTAAAATATTACTCAAAACTCAGGCAAAATTCTACTTGATAATGATGCTTTTTCATGGAAAGACTCAATACAATTGGATGAGATACGAAAAAGATCCCTCTTTTTAAAAGGAGGAAAAGTATTCAGCGTAAACACATTAAATGCCCCAACTGAAATTGCGGAATAATTTTGCTCCTTGAAGAATAAACAACTCCTTGACAATCTCTCTTGAAAGTACAGAATTGTTCTACCAATCCGTTGTAAATGGTTTTCCCGGTTTGAATTTGAAACTGGCATGGTTCTGTTCCAGAAAATACTGCTATTAAGATGATGATGAAGAAACCAGCGATGAAAGAAGAATTTTTGCTGGTCAGCCTGAAGTTAAGTCAAAGAATCCAATAAATGAAATAAGGAATTGATAAAATGCACAATCACTAGTTTCGATAGTTTGTGATTTAGGTTTCTTTTATAGTTTTATAGGCAGCAAGATATTCGATTTATAGTCAAAGTTAAGTGTTTATAAACTGCAGTGACAGACTGAGAATCACTTAGGCTCATTTAAGCATGATTTATTTTCCTGCATTTTGTTCAGCTTTCTGTATGGATAATTTATTTTAATTCTCGTTTGTCATCATTATTTTTATTTAGATTCCGCATTCAAAATACTAAACTTTTACAAATGGTTTAGTAAGGCTAATATAAAGTTCTCTACATTCCTAGAAATCCCACATTTTTGTCCTGTGCTTGAGGAAACATTCACTTTTAAAATTACTTTCCTGTTAAAATTCCGCATTCAGTTATTCTGATATATTTAAATTCCATTTCATAACGAAGTATTTATTATATAGTTCTGATAATTATGTTTTTTCATTTTCATAATTTTATTTTTCATTGTGTTCAAATAATGCTTACTTTCAATCTCTACTCAATTGTATTATTTATAGTTTTACTTGTTTATTCTCTTACACAGACTTCATCATCCAAGCCAGATTTTTTAAGTCTTTCAATTTTTAAGTAATACTAGAAATTTTTAAATGTAGTTAATTTGAATTACCTTTCAGAAATGCATATATGGGAAGGAAGAAATATTCCTAACAAACTTAAAAAAAAAAAAAAAAAAAAAAAAATACACGCTAAAAAAAAAATCGACGCAACAAGAAGGAATCATACGATTGCTCTAAAATTTCGTAGGCATACATGTTTTGACCAAATATGCAAATTATTAAAATTTAGTTTCCAATGAATGAAGAGTGCGATCTCCAGCGCATAGGAACTGCGCATCCAGCAGATGTATATAATGTGCTGTTCTTGAACTGTTGTTAAAAATTTCTGTTGCATTGCGGTTTGGGATACCTTTCAACGACTGAAAAAATGCCTCGCCGCAGGATGCGAGCTCATTACGAGCAACTGTCAGAATTTGAAAGAGGTCGCATCATTGGATTGAAAGAGGCAGGTTGGGCAAATCGGAGAATCGTTCATTATATGAGTGGAATTAGAAGATACTGGCAAGAATGGGTGGTAGTGGTAGATCCCAGCGTCATGATGGTAGCTGTCGACCTAGGGCAACAACATATCGAGAGAACATAGTCAGATCGGGAGAACCTAGATTGTTAGATCAGTTGTCACAGCGCCTGATTCATCCTATCAACCATGAGACGTGCGACCCGCACACGAGTGTCCGAGTCACCTTGACCATTCACAGACGGTTGATAGAGCGAAATCTACGCTCGTAGCGACCGTTACGCCAGCTGCCACACACTGTCGAGCCATCGATCAGGTTTGAATGATGCTGATCGGGGACGCATAGTCTTTAGTGACGAATCCCGCTTTCAACTGTGTCGTAACGATAATCGAAGACGTGTCTGAAGACGCCAGACCAGTATGCCGATCCTCCTTTCACTATTACACGCCACACAGGCCCTCAACGAAGAGTTATGGTCTGGGGGCCATTTCCCTTGATAGCCGGACCTCTTTGGTCATCATTAGAGGCATACTTACAGCACAGCGGTACGTCTACGACACTTTGAGATCTCTTTTGCTACCCTTCTTTTTGCAGTACCCTGGCCTTATTTTTCAGCAAGATAATGCCAGACCACATACGACAAGTGTTGCTATGAATTGTCTTACAGCTTGTTAAACACTTCCTCGGCCAGCCAGATCGTCAGATCTCTCTCCCACTGAGCATATCTGGGATATGCTGGGAGGGCGACTGCTTCTACCATAGAATGTTGATGACCTAGTCCGACAATTGGAGCAAATTTGGCAAGAAATACCGCAGAAGACCATCCGGGAGTTTTTATCAGTCAATGCCATGCGTGTGTCAGCTTGCATCCAGGTTAGAGTTGGGTCAACACCTTAATGAGCTCGTTACTTTTTAACTATGTAACTCTGGGACAACTCCTTCTTGGTGCGTCGATTTTTTTTTTTTTTTTTTTTTGTTGTTATAAAGTGTAGATATCAAAGTCGGGAGAAACGGTGTTTTGATTCATATTTTTATTTTCAAAGTTTAATTGTATGATATCAAAAACATGCTAGAAAAATAAAAGAAACTTCATAAAAACAACTTCGGTCCAGAAAGATTAATACTTCAGCTTATACCACGCATATATTAAACTGAATTCTCTTTAAGAACACAAATATTTCCATGACAGATATTACTCTAAAATTTTCTACAATAATTTCTTCAGGGTATTTTATATATAAACATTTGTTTATTAATGTGTATGTGTTTGGTTTAAATGTGTATGGGTTTGGTTTTGGTGTATCTGTTTTATTATTTAAATAGTGAACACAAATACTTAATTATTTCAACTTCAGAAATGGATTTGTATTAATGTGCAGAAAGACTTTCCACAACTGCAGAATCAGATAACCAGTCGAATCCTGTTAAAGCGGTGGTGAGCTTTCTAAAAAATGTAGACTGCTGCAAAAACAGTGCTTGTATTTTAATTTTATGTATATACAAGTATATCCTCATCTTGGGTTTTAGCTGTAATTTACTTTTACTATACTTGCCTTGAATTGAATTATTTATCAGATAAGTACATTATATATTGAATTTAAAGTTTCAGTATATAATGTACTTATCTGATAAATAATTCAATTCAAGGCAAGACCTTATACAGTCCCCTTTTGTGAATTTTAATTCACAGAAGTGGACTGTAAAAGGTTTTACAATATAATATACTATTTACGATAAAATAATTATATGAGGCTTCGAGTTAGTTAGATATATAATATGAAATATTAGATTTATTTAATAATAAATGATATAAATATAATAAATATATATTTATATAAAAATGATATAGATTTATTATATAATAAATGATTGTCTTTTAAAATTTCACCTCCAAATTTATTATAATTATTAATGTTTTAAAGAAGATAAATTGAAGTACGCTTTTTTTGAAGCATGGATGAATTCATGAAAAAAACTCTAAAACGATTTTGCAAGAACCCTTTCTGAAGAAAATAAGGACTTTAAGCGTTCCTTATCACTTTCTTGAAAATATTTTATGCATTTGATTTTAAAATGTTAAGGAACCATAAACTTTTATAACCCCAAAGTGACTTCTGAATAAGCAGAGTTTTCGTAGCAACAAATCAACAAAATGAAAAAAAAAAAAAAAAAAAAGAGTTACTTTTGGAGGCTGTTTAATTTCCGACCGTGGTGTCAACGCTGGCAAGCGACTATTGCAAGGACTATCCCCGATTTTTCGTTGTTGACTACTTCCGAAGGCAACAGGTTGCTGATACTCTTTCTTAGGTATTCCTGGTGAATACCTCCATGAAGATGGGACTGTGTCTTTGAGTATGAGCTCTCTCCTCGGCTCTCGCCTCCTGGGGGCTCTTTTGTAACTTTCATCGTCTGACGCGTCATCTTCTTCATCAGACGAAGAGGCCCCATTCTTGGAAACACGGCGAATGGATTTCTTGGGAGATTTCCTTTCTAAAGTGTCTTGAAGACTGGAAGTGGAAGAATCGTCACTGCAGGGAGGTGGTGGCAAGGAACGCAGGGACGATGGAGGAGAGGAAGAAGGATGATGACAACGACGGCTTGTCGTGGGTGATGTATAGGCAAGAGAACGACGAGGACCTTGAGGAGACGACGGAGTACTGGAGGGAGCTTGAGGTGGTCTAGGAATGAAACAGATGAAATTTAAATCTTATTTAAATCATCAGCCTCCCACCTTAACAGTTCGAGACAAGGTTGACATTTAAGCATGGGTCATCTCTAAAATTTTAGAATACAGGCAAGTGTGAAATACAATATATGAATGGTGCAATATTACTCGCACCGAAGACACTACTCCGTAAATAAGCTTCCTACAGTTTAAGATGTATTAGTCATTTAAAAACAGGTGGGTAAAGACAACACTTAAAATTTTATATGGTTTTAAATGTTTCATTACCATCTATTTTTAGATGTCAGTGGTTGCAAATAGTTGACTAATTGCTTTAAAATTATAATGCAAAATTAAGAGTACTTCGTTATAACTCTCTCAAATCTTTACAATTAAATTTATATTTTGAAAATCTTAATTGTAGTTAATGGCTAAGGCTATTCAATATACTCGTAAGCAGGTTTTACGAGTTACCCTTTAGAGGAATTTGTATCATATCTTGATTTATTTTCAGCTTCATTCTTAATAGCTAATAAGATGGGATTACAAAGAATATATATATATGGCTCATTTTCTATTTTAGCAGTAGACAAAATTTCACTATTTTATCTCTATTTCTCTCTATTTTTTAATAAAATTGCAACTGAAGATGAATGGAAATAGGACAAAATGATGCTAAGCACTGTGAAAATGTTTGCTAATAGCACTGAATTTTGTTAATAGCACTGAAATGTTGCCATATTAGAAGCTTTAACTAAGCTAGAGTTTCCAAAATATTTATCAGTGATCAAAGAGGCAATCTAAAACATCTGGTGAACCATATGCCTTGCCAGAGAAAACAGAATTTAATGAAAAATAAATATTATGTGATTTTTCCCAATATTAGGACAGTGCTCAGCAAGCTAAATGAATTAAAATTGCCGTAAACTATATACGCAGTAGAACTTTATATATAGGGACAACAGACTTCAAACTATTTGGTTATTCGAAATTTCATATATAAGGTCAATTTTTTACACCCGTAAGCCAACAGAAATTCAGGTTGAAAAGTTTCAAAGTTTAGTACACAAAGCTTTTCTACAGAGTTTTGATACTGAATTTATAAAAGGATCCGGACTGGACGAAAAGAATTTTGCCGTTGTAGAACTAAACTTTCATTCCAGCTCATGCTACACAATTCTTGGTATGTTAGAAGAAATTCTGCAATGATTCACAGAAAGTAACTTTTCATTCTTTATGTCACTATGTCATTATGATTTTCTCAATTTTTGAAAGTCTCTCAAAATGAGCATCTTAAGGGTGAATTTTCCTCTAAGAGATCAGAAAATAGCCAGAAGATATCAAAACTAGGTAAATAAGGTGATTAATTAAGAACGGTCATAATTTTGTTTACAATCAGTTAATAACAAGCTGTGCTGCTTGATAACAGGCACGGCAACTTGTTATCAAACACCATAAGCACGTGAAGGAAACTTTCTTGCTTTTCACTTCTCAGTCCCTGAATGCATAATGGCCACCTAAATTCCAACTTAAATTTTGCGTAGTGCCCCCTAGTTTCATTATATATATATGCATTTATACACAGGTAGAAACTAAAATATGTTTATATATATATATATATATATATATATATTAAATTCATAAGTCTAGGGCTCCGGTTTCCTTTGCAACAATTTATCTTTTTCAAGCGCCATTCGCTTGATTGTTGAGCTTTTTCCTCATCAAATGCGTAAACCTTTGTCTGTCACCAGCATTTAAGAATCCCCTTAAAGCATCTGCTAGCCCATTTAAACATTAGCTTTTGAGAAAAATTTAGCGTTTTTGAAACAGCTCAAAAGCAATAACACCGCAATATAGTATATATGACATAATAGCAAGGAGAAAACAGAGCAGTAATGATGCGTACGTATAGATCCATATTGAAGACGAAGATATCTGATTGCGTAGTATGCTAATATGTTATCGCTTCTCGGCCTTTTGGCTAAGATCAAGTATGCTAATATGTTGATTTAGTCGAGGCAGTTTTAATTCCATTTTTATTTTCCAGTTGACAGTTGTGGTCACAATCACTTGGCACTCTAGTCGCGCCTTTTTACAGAACATTTACATTTTTGATATTACTGCAACAGCAAGCAAGACAGATGTTACATCGTAGCAGGGTAGAGAGTGAAGCTGAAGCGCTTAGTTATGCAAGATAGAAGTACACGAGAAGTTTTTGGTTTGAGTTAAAAAGTTCAGTGTTCAATTATTACGTCATCAGCGCTGCACAGGCCGTGCAAAATGGAATGATTTAGAAATTACGCAATTCAGGGAAGTTATTACGATTTTTAAAGCAGAGAGAGAGAATTAAAGAGTTACCGTTAGTTTAAATTATAATTTTGATTCAAATATTTTTTATATTACATATATGCATATGTGTGTGTGTTGATTCAACCATCTCGAATAATAGGGGGGAAAAAATCGATTTTTCTCCTCATAATAATAGGAAAAAAAAAAAGGAGGAAACTGAAGCTGAAAAATTGAGCTGTCAAACGGGAAAAGATGCTAGATTTTAGGATGAACACGAGGACACAACATATCAAAAGCTGTTGAATTCTCAGTCACGAAAATTCAAGTGAAGGTCATGATTCTGACCTTGAAGTTCCCTCTCCGACAATCAGGATGCTATCTTAAAGGGTTACTGGCGTTTAACTTTGCTTGAATAATTCTCGAGTGGTTACGCGAAGTAAGTCATAAAGTGCAAGACGCGTTCGACCACGGAGTTTTTAAGAGCAAGAAATCATAATCTTCGGTCTTTGCACTATTATATTATGGCAAGTTCAAAAGCATCGAAGGAACTTTCCATCTTATCATTAATTTATTCCATCTTCTTAGAACCTTTATTTTGGGAGCTCTGAATTTGGAACAAGTGTTGCATTTACGAATTTGAATTGCTATTTTCTACAGACCGTGTTCAAAATCTGAACATGATCTCGCAGTCATATGATGTCCTAGCCCATTTAAACATTAGCTTTTGAGAAAAATTTAATGCCAATTAATATTATTTAGTTAGCATTGGTATTAAATAATAAATAACAGTAAATGACAATAAATGACGCACAGTACGCTATCAAATGTTTCCCCATATCCCGGCATTCGAATGTCTAATATGGTGCAAATTCTCAGTGCAGGAGTTTTATTATGTATTGTTTAAAGGAAAACGGGAAAAAAAAAAAATTGAACGCTTTCAAATTTTATATTTTACTCGAAGGGGCTTTTTCTTCATTTACACACACATACACATTTCGAGAGCATCTGGGCTAAAAATATGTAAAAAACAGCACGTCATTAGAATTTTCGATAGATAGTCATGCGGGCTGAAGTTAAAAATATTTTATTCCGCACAGTGTTGCCGCTGCAAAATCGCTGCAAAATAAAACAAAATCGAAATTGAAACGGGCTTCCAGGTGCCCATGTTCGGGTAGAGGACTACGTTTTTCAAAATTTCATAGCTCTCGGTATCACTGTTTTTTTCTACAATGCGAGAAACATTCACGCACATTCATGCAGATTTAATTTCTTTAAATATAAGGCAGGGTGATAATATTTGGTGGCACCAATCTGAAAAGTGATTTAACGTTTTTAGTGATTTGATGCGAAATGCCGTTTCGAGATTAGTAGCCCTTCTGGGTTAAGGCCCCTTTGGGCTAAAAATTAAAGTTGATATTTAATCATGATACAAACGTCTATTATAAGTCTAACAGAACAAGTTCGGTACACAGAAAGCGGAACGATCAATAGTTTTTCCCCTTCAACTACTACTAAATGTTTAAGACACACACACAAAAATAAATAAATAAATAAATAAATAAAAAAAAAAAAAACATAAAATAAATAAATAAATAAATTTAAAAAAAATGTAGCAGACAATATGATGCGCTAAAAATAGAAACTTCAAGGAATGCAAAACATGCAGTAAACACTTTTAAGAAACAATTGTCAGACGTTTACAAATTTTCGATGCAGTTTATCAATAATACTTATGGCGCAATGTTTTTATTCCGTATTTTTCTACGTACATGAAATACAAACGGAACAGAATGCTTCTGCTGGAATACTAAAGGCTTGAGGAAGCCTTGATATCTAACACCACAAATTCCAAACCAAATATGTTTATTGATATGGCGTCGATTTGAGTAGTTAGTTTGATTTTTTTAAGAAAGTTTGTTAAATTAAAACTGTATGCACAAATTTATGTGTAAGGCTAAAGTTGCAAGACTATTAGCTTGGCTATGCCAATTAATATTATTTAGTTAGCATTGGTATTAAATTTTTAGTTCTAAGAAATACCAATTCTTCGTTTCTACTTCTAATTTGGGGTTCCAAAAGATGCTCAAAACTACATATTCTTGCTTTGTTCCAGTTTCTATTACCCATGACAAAGGTTAGGATTATTTGGATAGGGTAAAGCACACGAGGGCTTTTGATTTCATGGAGAACTTTTTAAGGGAACCTGGCTAGTATTCATGTTACACATGGAGAAAACCTAGGTTAATGTACTACAAGATTTGCTCTTCCTGACCAGAAATCTTTCGGCGTGTGACGTCACTAATTCATCGTCTGCTCCAAACATGTGTCTTTGTTTCTCTCATTTCTACAAGTGAAGTGACATCACTTGTCATATTAGGTTATTTTGAAGCAGGAATCGTGAAAAAAGAGCAATGCCTTGGCCAGGACTCCAACCACGGGCCTCTCGAATACGCGCCGAGCGTGCTCACCACTACACTATGAAGGCATGCTAAGAAGGCGGGAGAAATACCTTATACACATACACTCAGCTCAGCGTTGGGAAGCGCAAGACAAACGTGCAGCCAGCCAGCCCATTTTCTTGGGTTCGAACGCGGGTCGAAATACCGGTATTCAGCGGTCTAAATACTGATGTTGAAATTACTCATGGCAAAACGGACAATGCATATGAATAATTTGCTGAGTTTTCTTATGCAACCAGCTAGTTAATTTAAAATACATTTTATT